CAGGTGCATGGAGGTGGGCAGTGGTATATGTTCCGGGCAGGTGTGATAGGAGCCTCTAGGAGCAGGAGCAAACATCCTTGGGGCCCCAGTGCCTCTTCTCCCACGTGGGCAACCTGAAAGACGGATGGTAATTAAACTTGAATGCAAATTAAAGTGGTTCAGACCAAACACTTACAGATTCACCTCGGCAGCCTCCCTGCTCATTCCCACCAGATCATGTGTTCACCGCCTCAGCATGAGAAGAGGCAGGTCCCCTCCAGACGGCCTCGGAAGTAAAAAAGGAAGAAAGCCCAGAGACAAAGAGTCCAGATGCCTGGGGTTCGGGTGACGGGGTTGGAGGCCCAGAGGGCTGCAGTGATTTGTCCCAACTTGCCAGCAAACTGATGGTGTACTCAAAGTTAGGTTTTAAGGTCAGACAGCCCCAAGGAGACAGTGGGCCATAGCCAGAGAGTGATGCGCCTGAACAGGCAGGAAGACCTGGGGTCTGGCCCAGGCCTCCTTATGGATCATGCCAGGCCCAGGTCACGCCAACGCAGAGCTTGAAATGCAATATCCCTTTTTGAGCTGAGTAACGCCTTGCAGCCACAGGGAGGTGAGAGGCCAGCCCTGTATAAGTATGCTTGGGTGGGAAGAATGCTGGATGGTGTCCTTGTCAATCTCCCCATTCAACTACAAGCTAAAGGCTGAAGGATTTCTGGCTCATGGCTGGTGCCAGGGAAGTCTCAGATCCATGTCATGGAGGGGTAGAACACTGCCTGAGCTGGGATCTGTGGCTTGCAGGCTGGGAAGTCTTGGACAAGCTCCTGGATGTTTCTGTGTCTTGGTTGCACTGTCAACAGGACTGGCTCATAGGGCTGTTCTGAGGACCAAATGAGTGAATGCATGGACAGCACTGACCTGTGCTCAGTGAACTTAAGTTAGTATTGGTCTGTAAGATGGCCAGATAGCACTCTGAAAGGCACTTTCCTGAGTCCTTCCCCCACAAATGCAGAGCTCGCTGCCTCTTCCATGACGCAGTAATGCTCATCAGGAGCCGAGAACAGGGCCTCCACACACTAAGTGCTTGCTGAGCTGCCGACACAGCTAACCACATGAAAGGCTTCATCAGCTGGCCTTGCAGTTTGATTTTAAAGGAGAGGATGACGTGGTGGGAGAAGGGAAGTTGCAGTGAACATCTCCATTTCCATCGCTTTCTTTTCTGAGTGAAGAAGGCCTACCTACAACCATGTGGGGGTCCAGCAGAGGGGCCGCTGGAGCCTGAGCATTCATCCCTGCTGCCAGTCCAGGCCCTCGCCTAGGCCCTGCCTCCAGCTCTCTGGGAACCAGTAGAGCCCAGCAGAAGCAGCTAAGGAAGGACCCCCATACCTACCCCATTCTCAGAGTCAACCCCCGGGGCCCCTGTCAGGCCCAGCACCACATCAGAAGGGCCCAGGCCCCGCTGGGATCAAGCTGTTCCCATAGTGACACACAAATCAGCCACCCTCAGCCCTGTCATTTGCCAGAACCCAATTCATGAGCCTCTGATCAATAATTCAGGCATCTCCATCTGTGGAAAACTTGGATTTGGCCTAATTTCTCTCATAAACAAAGAACATCATCTGCTCCTGACAGTAAAATAGACACCAGTCAAATTTCTCAAAAACTAGAGGTTTCTGTGAACCACATTCCTTCTGAGTCTGGAATCGCAGAATCCAGCTTGCCTTTGTGAATCCCATGGGCAGGCTGGCTGGGTTGGGAACACAAAGTCTGGTGTGGGAAACTGGGCTGGGCGATTGGTTCAACGTATTTTAAGTGTTCCAGTATATCGTTTGAAAACCAACGGATGGATCTAGCTACAAATGATTCTTCTCCGTTTAATGGAGTTGACTATCTGATCTCATTAGTATTTGCTGAAAGAACATGAATGCAACAAACACATTTTTTGGAGATATTCTTGAGCCAGGTGTCTCAGTCAGGATTCTCCAGAGAAATAGAAGTTATATATACACAAGTATGTATATATGTATATGTATATGTATATGTATATATGCATGTGTACATACACACAAATATATATACACATACATATATCTATATGTACATGTGTGTATTTATATGTACATATATAAATGTCTATTTCAAGGAATTGGCACATGTGATTGTGGGAGCACTGGCAAGTCTGAAATCTATAGGGCAGAGCAGCAAGCTAGAAATTCTCAGGCATAAGTTGAAGCTGCAGTCTTGAGGCAGAATCTCTTCTTCCTCAAAGAAACCTCAGTTTTGCTTTTAAAGGCTTTCAACTGATTGGATGAGGCCCACCTACATACCCTCCTTTACTTCAGGGCAAATTCTTGTAGTGTAGACTGTAAACCTAGATTGGGGTTTGGTTAAATAAGGTGCATGCTACAGCCTAGCCGTGACCATACATAAAACCAACCATCTCACCAGCTTGCCTCTGGCATCTGCTTTTCCCTGGACATCTCTCTCCCAGTGGACCTAAATCAGTGAGGCTCATCTGCATGGGCAAGAAGCAAAACATCAAGGAATGATCAAGCCAGAGCAGACCATGAAAAGGGTGTACTTGGGGAAATTGGAGCCAAAAGAACTGAATTGATTTGCCCAAGGTCACATAGCTAGTTAGATGGGCAAGTGTCTTCCTCAATCAGGACCACAGTAGGCTCACCTGCCACGTGGACCCACCATTTTTGCCTGCCTGCCTCCAAATCTAGGCAAGGTCACGTACTACAGGTGTGCAGCTGTTACAAAATGATTCTAGTTATGGACACCTGGCAGGTGTATCTCAGGCACCTTGTATTTCTGTTATGTGGGCCCTTCTAGAGCAACTGTGGTCCAGCCAGTTAGTAAAAGCCACCACAGGATACCAGGCATCGTGTTGGTGATGGTCATTGTCCATTTTTTGCTGCTGTAACAGAATACCTGAGCGTGGGTAATTTATAAACAATAGAGGCTTATTTGGCTTACAGTGGAGAGGCTGAGAATTCCAAGGGCATGGAGCCAGCATCTGCTGAGGGCTTTCTTACTGCATCATTCCAAGGAGGAAAAACAGAAGGGGAAGCAAGTGCATGAGGCAGAGAGGAAAAAGGGGGCAAACTCATCCTTTTTATCAGGAACCCACTCTCAGAGGAACATTCTCACGATAACGGCATGAATCCATTCACCACGGCAAAGCCCTCACTACCTAATCACCTCTTATAGGTCCCACCGCAGCCATGCACGGTAGCTCACATCTGTAATCCCAGCACTTTGGGAGGCTGAGGTGGGTGGATCACCTGAGGTCAAGAGTTTGAGACCAGCCTGACCAACATGAAGAAATCTGTCTCTACTGAAAATACAAAATTAGCCAGGTGTGGTGGTGCATGCCTGTAATCCCAGCTACTCGGGAAGCTAAGGCAGGAGAATCACTTGAACCTGGGAGGCGGAGGTTGCAGTGAGTCAGGATCGCACCATTGTACTCCAGCCTAGATGACAAGAGGGAAACTCCGTCTCAAAAAAAAAAAAAAAAAAGTTCCACCCCTTAATACTGTCACAATGGCAATAAAATTTCAATATGAGTTTGGAAAGGGGCAAATATTCAAACCACAGCAGTGATCAACAAGTATTTCTGATCAAAAAACAAAAAACGACTGTGAGCATCTCCATGCATTATTCAGCTTGGGCACCCTATCATCGGGTACAGTGCCTACTGCAATAGAAACTCTTCCCTGAAAGGGGTTTCCTAGAGTGAGAAGCAGTGGGCGGGCCTCACCCATAGGTGGGAAGGTAATTGGCAGGACAAAGCAGTTACGTGTGAAGCATAGGCCGTTTGAAATCTACATGCACACCTGGGATCTCTGTAAATCCTAAGCCACTCGAGGGGATGTAGCTGCCTCCATCTTACAGTTGAAGAACCTAGGACTTGGCAGGTGAAGGGATGTGTCCAAGGTGGCTGGGCCCATGGTGCGATCTCGAGTGACTGCAAGCACAGTGCCCTGCCTGCTCAGGTCCACCACTCTCAGGGATCCCCACACCTTGGAGAAAGACAAAGATCAGGGGCTTCAAGCAGCGTCAGTGGCTGGTGCGTGTCTCTGGCCCTCTCACCGATGGGCCTCCTTGGGAGGATCTCTGTTGGCCAGGGAGGAGGAGGAGGAGGAGGAGGGTGAGGTGGAGATGGAGAGAGGGGGCTACAGCCTTACTTCTCAGCAGAAGACCCCTGTGAGGGGCCAGTGGCCTCAATCCTGGGCCACGGCAGGAAGCCTCCTCCCATTGGCCCAAGGCCAGGCGCTTCCTCAAGATCAACAGGATGTCTGCCCCTCAAAGCCCCTCACATGCCAGAGCCACATCATGGAGCAGCTACATGTGTGAGGCCACAGGCCATCAAGCGAGATTTCTTCTCTCTAAAGGTCATCATTCACAATAGAACAGTTCTCCTCCTGAAACTCACCCTCCCAGTACGGGAATGTCACTGTCATCCTGGCCCTCTTTTGCCCACTTTCCCCCACTTTTCTGACCCCTCTGCCTTCTGACTCCAAACTCCAGAACTGTAGATGAGAAAATAATTTGGCCTGGCCTATTACTGAAAGGAAATGGGGAAAGGGCTCACAGGCTGTAAAAGCTCTCCTTCCTCCCTCCCTCCCAGCATCGAGGGCCGTCAGCTCACTGACACACCTGTCCTCCCTGAAGCACCTGCCCTTCACATTCTGGATGGGCTCAGGGCCTCTCTACAGACTCACTGCCATGGCTGTTGCCATTGACCGAGGCCCAGGTAGGGGAGACTAGATGGAGGAGGCAGCCCTATCGTCAGTATAGAGGGTGGGAGGAGCCCCTGCTTGAAAGAGCAGATCTGACCTTGTGTTGGCACAAAGCACATCCAAGGAGCCCCCCGGGGTCTGGGGACAAGAATCCTGGCAGGTACAGGGCTCAGAGACAGAGATTTGGGTTCGAGCCCCAGCTCCACTCTACCCCAGCTGAGACTAGACAATTCTTCGATAAAAAGCCAACATACCCACCTAATGAGGTTCTTCTACAGCCAATGTCATTTACAAATATAGAGTGTGCTGTAAGCCAAGAGCTGGTCATCCATCAGGCATGGTTTGTCCACCCTGGGCCTGGTTTCTGGACAGCATGACTTGTGCAGCTGTGGAGGAAGTGGCCAGGAGAAACTCAGAGCCCAGCCTGCCCAGCCTCCATCCCTCCCCACCCGTGGACTCTCCAGGACTCCTCAGTGCAGCTTAGGGATCCCAACCAATCCCTTCAATCTGCAGATGAGAAAACCAAAGTCTGGAGCTACCCAGATGGTCCTGGGTACCCAGGGAAACCCAGATGGTCCTGCTCCAGCCCAGCCCAGCTGCAGTTTAGAATGGAAACTCCTGGGGGGCAGGGATCGTGGCTTTGTCCAGCCTGGCCCCAAGCCCCAGGCCTACCACAGGGTCTGGCAAATCTCCCTGAATAAATAAGGTGTCTGCCAAGATGCCCAGTGCACAAATGCACCCACGCTTTTTAAATGGAGGGTGAGGGGCTGGGTGTGCAAGCATTGCAGGGAGTTCAGAGAGTCGAGGAGCAGAGCTGAGCACAGAATAGCTGCTTTGCATCTGCAGAGAGGACAGCAGCAGTCCTTATAATGTCTGGGAGGCATGAGGGTTTGTGGCGAGCTGGGAGGTGACAGGGGCAATGGGGAGGCACGTGGCCTGAGATGCAGTTTGCTCACCTCCCCCCTGGGCTCCAGGAGGCCCAGCATCCAGCTGCCACACAGGCAGGCACACCAATAGCCTGGCCAAAATAAAGACATCCAGACACAAGCCTGCACCCTCTGAGACGGAATCCTGGCTCTTGCTCCTTTAATTAAGAAAAACAAAAGATATGAGCAGGGTGAGTGCCTCGAAGATGCTGGGGAGGTAGAAAGGATAGGTTCTTGGCTCCCTCTAGGAGGGCTGTCTGGGAGGAACACACGTGGTGGCTTGGCTGTGCTGTCAGTGAGACTGAGGTCATGGGCGCACACTCTACAAGGTGTGGGGGAAGGAATCCAAATCCCCCAACCCATACTGAGCCCAATCACAGACTCAGAGTGATCCCAGTTTTGTCCAGTCATCCGCCTCATTCATGCTGTCTCTTTTTTTTTTTTTTTTTTTTGATGAAGTCTCTCTGTCACTCAGGCTGGAGTGCAGTGGTACAATCTCAGCTTACTGCAACCTCTGCCTCCCTGGTTCAAGCAATTCTCCTGCCTCAGCTTCCTAAATAGCTGGGATTACAGGTGTGCACCACCACACCCTGCTAATTTTTGTATTTTTAGTAGAGACAGGGTTTCACTATGTTGAAACCCCCTCAGGCTGGTCTCGAACTCCTGACCTCATGATCTGCCCACCTCAGCCTCCCAAAGTGCTGGGATTACAAGCATGAGCCACGGTGTCCAGGCATGCTGCCTCTTAGAAGGGCACTGGCAAGACAGTGCATTCACTCAACCAGGGCTTACTGACCACCTACTATGTGTCAAGCTTATTGCACAGGACACAGCTGTGAGCAGTAGAGACATCTTACCCTCACAGCTGCTCACCCCATCAGCCTTTATCTGTGACTCATTCACCCTGCTCTTTTATTTGTTTTTGTTTGTCTGTTTTTAATCCTTCTGAAAACCTATTCCCATCTACCATCTTGAGGCATGTTTTCAATTGCCAAAAATTTACAGATGGAAAAAGGGCAGCACAGCTAGGACAAGAATTTGGATCTCTCATCTTCAACAACACATGCTTCAAGCCCTGTCACATGTACTATGTGGTCACAGGCCCCACAAGAGTTCTGAGGCCAGGTGTCACCGTGGCGTGTGGCTGATGGCAGAGCAGGCAGAGGAGCTTGCAACCTCACATCCCACAAGCACATCCAAATGCATCTTTGATGGGTCCTGATGGAAATCTGAGAAGTCAGAGGCTTCTTGTGGTCTTGTACTCATGGATGGAGAAAAAGAACCCACAGACAAGACAGAATCCTTAACCTGGCCTGGGACCATGGGTTGGATATTCCCAGACAGGCAAGAATCGGGAGGGTATCACAAAGGGGACCTGTGAAGACCAAAGATGCCCAGGAAGAGCGAGTGAGACAAAATTGCCAGGGTCCAAGAAGGGAGCCAGAAAGAAGGCAGGTGTGGCTCCGATCAGGGGAGTTAGGTGAATCAAGCTGGCTGGAGGGGGCTGGGAGGGCTTTGAATCCCAGGCTGCGGAGTTCACACCATGGGGAGCTGGGTGCCCCAATGCCAACCTCCTTTCTCCTCTGGCTGCCCTGTGGGGGCATCAGAACTGGGTCTGGTACTTGTGTGTGTGTTTGGAGTTCTCAGTACCTGGCAAGATGGGCTGGCCCCCAACAACCAAGAGGTCATTTGGATTGGCCTTCAGTATCTCTACCACTTGAAAGAGTCATACCCCCCGGCAAGAAGCAAAAAACGGCAGATTCACTCTGTGAGATGGGGACCCTAGCCTTGACCCCTCACTCACCTGACCCCTCAGGGGCTCAGTGTTTTACAAGAAGACCCCAGAGAAGAACTACTGATCTCAAAATGACAAACCACTATAGTGCACACCAAGCTATTGCTCTTCCCTTCCCCTACAAACCTCCAATGAGCACCTGCTATGCGTGAAGTGTGTGGTGCAGGAACAGGAAGGGCGCAGAGGGGTCAGCTCAGATGGCAGCTTGCAGGAGCCTGGGAGAGAGAAGAGGGACCTCGCCTGGCCTTTAACACACAGCCCAGCCTGTCGTGGGAGCAGTCATCACCCACCCAATGAAGCAGTGCAGGAGGAAATGGTGGGAGAGGCACACAAAAAAACATTCTCACCAGGACCGTGGGTTGTAAGTGCCACAGAGAGGTGCAAAACAGAACTGCGGGAGGAAGTGAGCCTCTGCCCCCTTGTCCATTCTGCCAAGGAGAGTGAACGTGGCATAGTGGAGGTGACATGGTGAGGGCATATGTGCACAGAAATAGTGATGGAAGCCCAGGCAGATATGGGAAACCCCATGGCCATGGGCCTTAGACGGAGTTTAAGGGTTACCAGTGGACAGGTGAGACTTGGATCTGTAGGGGTGCATGGCAAACTTACTCTGGGGACAGTGAGTGGAGGCCAAGGGGGAGCCGTGGGCATGGCAGGGAAGCTGCAGAGTGATGGCCACCAGACAGGCCTGCTGGAGAGGGAGAGGGAGTGATGCTGGAGCGCCCACACAGCCCAGGGCCTAGGAGGTGTCCCCAGCGGCCACTGCAAGAGCAGGTCAGGGGCTGCTGTGGTCTGGGGGGAGTGGGCAGCTGCCACCTGCATCCTGGAGACAGCAGACGGCTGGGTGTGGCTGGCCTCCTCCTGGACCCTTCAGTCCTCCCACCCTCTTACCCCTGTGACACCCCCATGTCTGCAGCGGAGTGGAGGGGTGCTGGGGCTGCCGTGGGAGGGCCCTGGCATCGCCTTATGAAGACATCTGTGTCTCTAATGAAAAGTTACCCGTTGCCGGGCAGGGGAGAGACACAAATCATTAGGAATCAATTTAGCTCTGGCCAGCCATCTGCCTAGGCCTCACGTTGGGGGAGCCGGCCGCTGCCTCATCACGCGCTCCCCCTCCCAGCCTAGTCTGGACGCACACGCGGGCAGGAGGAGGCCCGGCTGCTGGACCGAGGGCAGCTCACTGCCTGCCTGGTGCCCGCGTGGTGTGCCCGTAGGCGCCGGCCAGGTCTAAGGTCAGGATGGCTGTACCCGAGCAGCAGGAAGAAAGCGGCCCAATTCCGTCCCTCACCGGCCCCGCCTCCCGCCCCTCATCCCTCTCCGGGCTCTGAGCGCGGCCTGCGCCCTCGCCCCTCCCCTCGCGCCTGTCCCGAGTGGGAGGTGGAGGTTGCCTAGCCACCTCTCTGGCCACGGTCACAGCTCCGTTGCTATGGAGGCCGGGCCCCCCGCTGCCCCGCCCCCGCCGGGCCTGTCCCCGAGCATCTGCCGCGGGTCCCTCCCGCGGGCCCCGGAGCCCTGCGCCGCCCAGAGGAACACGCCAGGTGTCGCGAGCGCCCTGCGGCCCCCGACAAGCTGGCAATTTGTTGTTGTTTGTCGAGTGCTTTTGTAATGCAAATCCCAGAGCCCGCCGCTGGCGCTCCGCTCGGAGGAGGTGGGGTGTTTTTGCCTTTTTTTCCCTTGGCCTTTGCATTTGCAATTGTTGGTGTTGCTTAAAATTTTTTTTTAAAAGCCTGGTAAAGGAATATTACTTATTTAATTTCATTTGCGTGTAGTGTTTGTTGCTGCCAAGTGTGCTCCACATCTTCAGAGGTTGCCCAGACTGGGGATGGGATTGTGGGTTAGAAGGTGAAGGAATCTGCCTAAATGGGCACCTGTCACCAAGAGAAACTCAGGTACTGGGGCTGGGGCCCCAAGTCCCAACTCCAAAAGCCAGCTCCACCCAGTGTAGCCCACACCTCCTCTCCCCACCACATGCCTTTGTAGGACTTGGCACCCTCAGGGAATGTGGGGCTGTAGGCTGCTGGCTGAGCCCCCTCCATGAGCAATGAGTTCCCTGCAGCACTTCCGGCAGCCCAAACCCAGCCTTGCCCAGCAACACCTGAGCCCAAGTGTCCAAAGGGCTGCTTCCTGAAAACCCAAGCCACCCCCTCCGCACGTCTCTGAGCAGCCCCTCCTGGGGTGAAAGTGGGGCCCTGGCCCCTAGAGAGCAACAAAGGAGTAACTCCTTTGTGTAACCTTTACCCCATGCCCTGTTTCCATGGCTCTGAGTAGCTTTGAGCAAGTGCCAGGTACATCCCATCAGGAGGTCTGTGTCTGGGTGAGTCTTCCCCACTGGGTGCCAGGCTAAGGTGGGCACCTCTTGACCAGGAGGTAACAGGAGAGCATCAGGGTCTTCCCAAAAGAAACCGAGCCATCTCCTCCAGCCTCTACCCTATCCCTGCAATCCCTGAGTCTGTCCCACACACGGTGCCTAGGCATCGACTGGTGTCAGGCCCAGGGCTGGGTATGGGGCACCACAGGGAACAGACAAAAAAAAAATCTGCTCCCATGGAATGGAATGACGTGGGGGAAGGGAGATAATCCGAGGGTGAACATTATCAATGGCAGGCTCTGATAAGAGCTTTGATAAGAATGAAGCAGGTGATGGGGGTTGGTGGGGGGAAAGGGAAGGGGCTGTATGAGAGGGGCTGGCAGGGAGGCCCCCACTGAGGTGACTTTGAGCCGAGACCCGAGGGACCCCTGAAGCATGCTCAGTAGCACAACAGGCCAATTGTCTCCTACAACAAACCAAATCTATCTGAGTTTGTGAATTGCAGAATGCGTTTTTAAGCATTAGGGTTCAGTGCTTTGGGGACCAGGAATTAAATGGCCCACTAGGGAGTGCTGCCCTACTGTACTAGGTAGCATCTCTGCTCTGCTTGTGAGTACAAAGGAGCTTCGGAGGTGAAGGAAACAGCCTGTTGTTTGAAGGAAGGCAGACCCCGTGGCCTTGCAGTGAGCCCTGCCTCTGCTCCACTCCTCTCAGCTCTGGGCTCATAGTTCATCAGAGTGGTCAATGGTCAGATCCAGCTTGACGAGCACTATGCTTCACCACATCGTCTTTCACAAGCTGTGCGCATAAATACGAAGGGTTCAACAGTGCTTTCATGCAAAAGATGGCCCAGTACAAGCACAGAACAATGGAGGCAAATGGGGATGTCTCTGGGTGACTTTCGTGGAGGTACCCTGGGGTGCAGCTAGGTCTTGGCTCCGTGACGGAGCCCGTCCTAGCCCCAGATCACCAGCTCACAACTCTTCCCCAGAACTAGCCTGTTCCTGGGGGAAAACCTTTCTTTCTCCCACTTCCCGCACCGCAGTGATGAGCAGATATGGGCACATGAAGCTGAGTCATCATCACAAAAGTGCCCATTGGAGGGGAGCAGAGGCTCTCAGGCCCCAGGGTCTCCCTGAATTCAGTTCTGGTGACCCAGTTGCAGACAACATGGTTTACCCCACTGGTTCTTAGCCCTGCACACTAAAAGCCACCCTGGGACCAACTGTGCCTTGGATCCAGGCTCTCAAGGTGGGGTAAGACAGGTGAAATGCCAAAGCTGAAAATGTCTGCCACCGACTGCCTACTCCTGTCTGCACAGAGCACGCTCACTGCAGCCTCTAAGCTGCTCAGGGCCTTATCCTAGCTGGGCCTCTCTTGTTTCCTGAATCTCCCCAGTACCACCCAGACCCTCAGCGTCCTGCCGTGCACCCCTGGTGGCATCCTCTCGGACAATCAGAAAACAACTGCTAGCTCCATGCAAGGCCCTGAGGGGATTCAGGCAAGAAGTCACTACCTGCAGTAGTGAGACCCCGACCTAGTCACCAAGCCAGGAGCCAGGGCATCAAGACAAGCGAGGGAAGGTGTGGTCTGATGGTGAGAGAGACACACGAACAGATCACAGCAATGACAGGGAGATGGAATAGAGGGTGCCTAGCCCAAAAGACAGGACCACTCTCCAGCATGAAGACCTCACATGGGACCTTGGCAAGGGCTACCTGGAGCCAGGAGGGCGAAGCCTGCGTTCAGACCCAGCAGAACAGGCGCTGCTGCTGCTGCTACAGGACTCCAAAGAGCAGAGAACTGCTTAGGCGATGGATGCCAGGGTCCATTCCTGCAAAACAGGCATGGGTGCTGCTCCTAGAGAGGGGCAACTTTGCCTGAGCATGTGTCCATGTGTCCTAGATGGTTAAGAAAAGGTTTGGGGTCCCTGCCCCTCTGCCCCTCTGCCCCTCAGGAGACAAATATGAATTAAAGGCAGGAGCCTTTTGCCAAGAGGCCTCTCCCTGCCTGCTTCTTATGCTCACCACCTACAGGCTGTGGGTTAGGGCCCTCCCCAGGGGGTCCATCCCTATCCTCTCCTCCCTATGTCTCCTGTCTGGTGGCAGCTCAGGCAGGCCAGATGAGACCAGACATGCCTGAGGTGGGCAGCCTCCATATTCAGGGCTGCTGTGACAGCTGACAAAGTTACAAGGACGGGGACATGAGGGAGGACGGGTGGCCCGCTCCCTACGGCGGCTGCCCCTCTGCTCCATTCCATTAGGATTGATCAGGCTGGGTCAGGGGTCTGCTGGGCCTCCACTGGGCACCTGGAGCTTTCACAATGACTAATGGCAATGCTGCCACCGCTGTGCCGGCCAGCAGCACCACCCCCATCACCACCACCAGCCTTCACGTTCACCCAGCTCTTCAGCAGGTAGTCCACCTCCAGGTGCTACCCATGCCTGGCTCTTGTCCTGGCTGCTGCTTTACGCATCCACCCATTCACTCAGTTCATCAGTCAGTATTTACTGTTACCTCCCTGTGGTTTCTGCCCAGCCCCCTGCCCCCAGCTTAATTCTGCTCACCAGCATCATTGCCAGGGCCCCTCCACCCTAGCACATGACAGGTGTTCTCAGCATCACCTGGACAGCAGGACTGCCCCAGTCAAGAAGCTGTGCCTTAGCCAGCCCAGCATGCCCAGCAGAGGGAAAGAGGAGAAAATCTAGTTAACTGCCCTGAAAGAGCTTCCCTCCAGCCGGAATGAGGAGAACCACATGCACAAAACTACTAGGAAATCCCAGCCAGGGCAGGGCCAAGAGATGGCTGAAGTGACAGGCCGGGGGCTGTCACATGTGGCTCCCAGTCCTCCCATCCCCAGGGCTCTCGGAGCTGTCGGGGGCGTCCTGGAACTGAGAGGAAGAATCAAGTGGAGAAAATGACACGACACGCAGCCACACTCCTTCAGGCGCCTCCGTAACCCACGCTGCAGGCTCCCATGTGGCGCACGCTCATGGACATATGCCACCTACAGCATGTGGTAGGGAGGGGGCGTGGACAAGGTGTCCTAGAAGCCATCCTGGAGCCAGCAAGGGCAGAGGGGTCATCCCGACAGGGCTGGCTGGCAGAGAGCTTCTGTGCCCTCACTCCTGGGCAGGACAGAACAGGCTGAGGCCCCAAACCCTACACAGAAGCAAGCCTGGAGCCCCAGAATGTTCCATGGGCCCATCCCTGAAGGATCTGTGCAGCGTGAGTGAGCGTGAGAAATCCAGACTGCCTCCTGACAGTGTCCCTGAGCGAGACAGCCATGCGTGACTCTGCCTGTGTGTGTTTGTGTCCAGGGTGGATTCGCTCTGCATGGCTTTATGCGCCGGATTCTCTGTGGGTGGGGGCAGCATTTTGCTGTGTACTGGGGGCTGTGTCTATAAATGTCTGACTGTGTGCATGCTCACTCTACTGGACGTGTGACACTCACAGTGTGGCAGTGAAGCTGCAGGGAGGGCAGGGGACGGTCACCGTCCTCAGGGGTGTGTGGGTGCTCGGGGGAGTGGACATCTGTCCTGCTTTCCGTGCTTCCCACCTTCCCCGAGCACACCCAGAGGTCCAGCCCTGGGGAGCAGACCATAGCCCAGCGCCCCTCCCACACACACTTTTCATCAATTTGGTGCTTTCTTGTCAAGAAGACAAGCTATTTGCTTCCTGAAGATCAGATGGTGATGGATGAAATATAGGGAATAATTAAATTAGCAGTGTAATGGTGGTGCAAGCCTCAATTAAAAAAATATTTCCATTGTCATAAAGTCTAGCCATAAATTTTAGGAGCCCTACTTGCTGGTGGCCTGCAGTGCTTGGCAGCCTGACTAGCCATCCTGTGGGTGTGGACTCTGATCAGATCTGGGGAGGCCCAGAGAAGGGCTGGGCTGCTTGAGGGAGATTGGCATTGGCAATTTGAAAGTCTCCACATGCCCCACCCCAGTCCCCATCTCATCACAGTCGAGCAAGACAGCGACAGCCTGAGAGTGGCCTCTGGTACCTG